ACATGTCTATTATATACATTTGAACAAGGAGGTGGCATTATTGCGTACAGGTGAATAAGGGGCAGGGTTATTGCACACATCTGAGTGAGAAGGCTGGTTTAGCTAATCTCAGCAGGAACAGTGCCTGTAGGGAGGCAATCTCCAGCCCATTGTAGAATGGGAAGAAAGCTATAGTGGATGTTTTCTTCCCACACCATCAATATCTGTACTCAGACCTGAGACGGGTTTGGCCATCTCTCTGAGTCTCAACCAGGGCAGGCTTTGGACTCTCATGGGGCTAAGGCATTGGTCCTCGACATGGCTGTGTCTTTGTCAAACAATACACATTCACTCAGGACTTCTCTCCATTCTTTTTAAAAACAAACTGAATCGTACCATACAGAAAGGGTTAATAGGCTGAGCCTAGAAAGTTTTTCCTAGGCAGTGAGATGCTTTCTTTAAAATTCTGAGATACCCATACTGATGTTTCTTTTTGTACACTGCAAATCATCCTACAAAAATAGACAACATCTGCTGCCTATGCTGGCCAGAAGTACAAAAGCTGTTTACGACACCATAATTAACCTACCCAGAGGCCTTTATTTCCATGAATAGGGGAGGCAGAATAATCAGATAAACCTGGCATAGTAACTTGGCCTAATGGGAAATTGAGACTCCATTCATCACTGTTGAGTCTTACACAACACAACAGTGTCCGGAGCTAGGGTTGCCCAGCTGTACTTCAGAACCATTTTGCATACCAGCTTCCCGCCACCAGCCCTCATTTGCTATTTCTCCAGAAGACACTTTATGAGCCAGATTGGATATACACAAAACTCCAACAGCATTCAGACAATAACCAAGAGACCTCAGACTTTTTTAGTGTATACTTTAGCAGTTCAGAGAGCTTCCATTATGTGTGTCTGCATGCACACACACATTTCTCTGCCACACAATGACATAAGAAGAGCTGAGATTATAGAACATAAAATTCAAATAGTTTGCTTAAAGCCACAGTAAAATTACATAGCACGGTCACACTCCCCTCTTCCCACTCTCATTTCGGCATGTAGCTTCCCAAGGGATTTGAGATATTTTATGAAAAAATGTACAACTACATATAATTATGAGTCTGGAACACTTTCTAACCTTCTTAACATAGAAAAAAAAAGTTACTGTGTAAAAAAAGTTACTATGTAGTTTTTAAAATAAGAAGTCTTTGTGGGACAGGCTTCTAAACTGACTCATTCCTAAATTCACATTGAAATGATCAAAGGACTAAAAATAGAGGGGAAACCTCTCATATGCCAGAGAGTCTGGATACTGAGGAATTTCTGCTAGTTAGAAGTAAAGGGGCCCGGTTGGAAGGAGGGATTGGGTCAAGATTCCACTTCTCTAAAGTATTTCAGCATCTTGGGCCAGCAAGATGGCTCAGCAGGTGAGTGAGGATGCTTGTGCCAAACCTGTCACAGCCAGAGTTCAATTCCTGAGAAATATGGGTGGAAGGAAAGATCTGTCACCTGCAAGTCTCTGTCTAACCTCATTCATGTATGTGTGTATGCGCACACATGCAAATACAGGGTCTATGATTTTATTCTTTGAAAAAATATTATCATCTTGGAAGAATTGTACAAACAACATTTTAGTCAGGATAGAAAACAGGGTGAGGGCAGAGGAGAGTGGGGTTCTGCTCCCCCCATTCCAGCACCTAATTGGTCCACCACAATTTTTATTTTGATTTGCTTTTTTGAGACAGGGTTTCTCTGTGTAGTCCTGGCTGTCCTGGAACTCACTCTGTAGACCAGACTGTCCTTGAACTCATGGAGATCTGCCTGCTTACCTCTGCCTTCCCAGTGTTGGGATTAACAGTGTGCAACACCCCCCTCCCCCAGCAGACCCAATGTAATTTCTATTTTAGTATTTATGCAGATCTGTCTCTTAGTGTTAAGATGAACAAATGGAGAAAAATCTTGGGACATCGACAGGTGCTATAGTTCATAAGAATAAGGTTCCTTTGAAAAATCAGAATAAACATATGAGTGATGTGAAGAGCAGATTAAGAAATACCATCAAGCCGGGCGGTGGTGGCGCACGCCTTTAATCCCAGCACTCGGGAGGCAGAGGCAGGCGGATTTCTGAGTTCGAGGCCAGCCTGGTCTACAGAGTGAGTTCCAGGACAGCCCGGGCTATACAGAGAAACCCTGTCTCGAAAAACCAAAAAAAAAAAAAAAAAAAAAAAAATTTTTAAAAAAAAAAAAAAAAAAAAAAAAGAAATACCATCAAGGGGGAAAACATAAGCATTTTTATTCCCTAATGATGTAACTCCAGTACCCAACATTGTACCTGACTCAGAGCCGTCCGTCTATAGCTATTGAATGAATGGAGTAGGCACATCAGGAGACAGCATAGACATGGAAACAATAATCAATACCATCCCTAAGACTTATGTCTGCTGTTTAGTGAATAAAAGTAAATCAAATTCAGACTTAACCAAGTGACATTTAAAAAATATGTCACAGATTTAGAAAAAGAACTTTCAAGAATATAACGAAAGAAAGAAAGAAAGAAAGAAAGAAAGAAAGAAAGAAAGAAAGAAAGATTGATTGATTTCTCTCCAAGGAATGAAATTCTGCCAACTGACCACAGATTCTGCAACTCTATGAAAACCAATAAACAAGCATTTGAGAGGTAGAGGAGGATCACGAGTTCAGGACTAGAGTGGTGTGGTGCATGCCTTTAATCCCAGCACTGGGAAGACAGAGGCAGGTGGATCTCTCCAGGTTCAATTCCCAGCACCTACATGGCATCTCACAACTGTCTATAACTCCAGATTCAGAGGATCCAACACTCTCACACAAACATACATGTAGGCCGAACACCAAATGTACATTAAAAATAAATAAATTATATATATACATATACATGAAGATGTGTACCCGTATAACACAAGACTTGACATGAGGGAGTTTAGAAGTAGAGCTACATGTGCACCCTGCATCTAACACTCACCAATTATACAGCTTTAGGCAAATCCATTATACTCAGCGAACTCGGTTGTCAAGGGAAAATGATGATCTCATCTTACACAACTGTATCCATAGAATTACATGAGGTGTGATGGGGAGATAAAGAATAAATCAAGGTGCCTGCAATACTATATGGATACTAGCTGCACATATGTGTGCATGTAGCTTATAAAGACGTATACCTACTGCGCACATACAGAAGCAAGGGTGAGAGAAGGGAAATCAAAGTGTTAGGAATGAGCCTGAGAAGTAGAGCCAGCCTGTAATGCCAGCCCTTAGGAGGGAGAGGCAGGAGGACTGTAACTGGGAGTTGGAAGCCACTTTGGGTTACAAAAATGTGACCTAGCCTCAATAAGATATAAGAGATAAGAACAAAAATAAATAACAACTGAAGTCCAAGGTTCTAGGAGTGTCTAACTCTGGGTGGTAGAATTTTAAGTTTTTGTTTGTTTGTCTTCTTTACACCTTCTTGTATCTCCTTCATCTTTCCTATATTCTCCACAATTTCTACAGCAAGCATGCTTACTTTTACAATTAGGAAAAGGACTCAGTGCTTGGCGTCATAGTGCAGGTCTGAAATCTCAGTACTCAGGATGGTGGAGCGGGGGACAGTGAGTGTACTACATAAAAAGACTGTGAAAAAAACAAATCATTCAATAAAATATGTAATACAAGGTTTGCAGCAAAACTGGAAAGAATCTAAGTATCCCAAAGCCATGCTCATTCTTGGATGCCCGAAGTGCACAACTCTATCTACAAAAGGAGCAGTGTCTCATATAGCTCGAGTCCAGTTTTAGCTAAACAAAACAAATGTCTTTTTCCTTTGAATAGTGAATGCCTTGGAGTTCCTCCAGGATAATATTGAATTATTCACATTGAATAGTGAATGCTTGGAATTACTCCAGAATAGTATGAAATCAACTTTATTTCAGTAAGAACTTCAAAACTTAAAACCCTGTAAATTCTGTCTTAGTACATGTGTGTTCTCTCAAACTTAATCTTCTACTTGGGTACTATAAGATGGGAGGCATTGAACAGACACCCCCTAGGGGAGAAGGAGGTACCAAGAAGGGGAGGGGATGATGAAAGCCCATGTAAGAAACCAAGGTGCAGCTTGGTGGTAAAATGTGTACCAGGCCCTGATTTCAATTCCCCCAAGGAATAAGTGAATAACTAAAATAAAACCAACAGCAGCCATCAGAATATTGCAGCTAGTAACAACTATATCCACCCCAAGCTATTCTTTACTGGAATAGTGAGAATTTGCTCATTCATTTACTTCTTCAATCAGGATTTAAAGCCCTGTTATATATGCAGCAGTGGCGTAGGCACTGGGTTGAGAGTAGAGAACAAATAGATTAGGGCTTTGCACAGAGAGGAAAGGCTGGTGGAGAAGACAAACAGGCATATAACTGCAGGTGGTGAAGAAGGCTATGAAGTCAGATTCTCTAGAGGGACTTACACAATGAATATGTGTGTGTGTGTGTGTGTGTGTGTAGGGGATTTATTGGAATGGTTTTTAGGCTGTGGTCCAGCTAGTTCAACAATGGTTGTCTACCAACAGAAGGTCTAAGAAATCAGTAGTTGTTCAGTCTATGAGGCTGGATGTCTCAGCTGATCTTCAATATATGTCAGAAACCCAGAAAAGTAGGCTCTAACGCCATTGAAGGAATGGACTGGTCAGTGAGAAAGAGAGCAAGCTTCTCTCTTCCATTTTGTTTACTTGGGCTGTCACCAGTAGGTGGCCCAGATTTAAGGTGGATCTTCCCACCTCTAAAGATCCAATTAAAAGTGGGTCTTCCTGGGCTGGAGAGATAGGTCAGTGGTTAAGAGCACTGACTGCTCTTCCAAAGGAAGAGTTCAATCCGAAGCAACCACATGGTGGCTCACAGTCATCTACAATGGGATCTGATGCCCTCTTCTGGTGTGTCTGAAGACAGCTCAGCTACAGTGTATTTGTCATGTACATTAAAAAAAAAAAAAAAAGGTGGTCTTCCTGCCCCTAGAGGGGTTGCAGATGTAGCTGCTGTGTCACATGTGCACCAGTAGGTAGCAGAGAGGAGAGAGCCTATGTCTAGGCTCAGTGTTCTGACCTGAAAACATCTGAATGATGAGTAGCCTAACAGTCCCTGAAAAAAGAGAGCCTGAGATGACCACCCATATGGTGCTATACAGGCCCAGATGGGCTCCTGGGGTGAGGAGCAAACTAGAGATTAGAAGAACTGTGCCTGGGACCACCAGCCCTGTGTGGGAGTGAGCCCGAGACAGACGAACCTTGCCTTGGGGTCCAGACCTCTGTCTAGCCTAAAATGACCACCAGTCCAGTGCTTTACAAGCCTGGGGGGTGCAGTCCATGGCTGAGATGATCCCTGCCCAGTGCCATAATGCATGAGCAGGGCATAGCACTCCTGATATCACTCCTAAGACAACCTCAGACACTCAGAGACCATGGGTGCCACTAAGAGGAACAAGTAAGTGGTGGAGAAATGAAAGAGGAAGAAAAACAGAATGATGTGAACACAATGAAGAGAGGCAGAGCTGCAGACTCAAGGGCAATGAGGAACAGCCAGATGTGAGAAGCTGGTGATGCCACCTGGGACCATGGTAGGGCCCTGGCCTATGCTGCCACTGGGGGCCATATCTGGGTCAGTGGTCCTGCAACAGCAGGGACCTGTTACTTCCAAAGACCAGGCAGACATCTCTGGTTTGGACTGCTGCCCCAGGATATGTTGATGTCTGAGTGTTGTATAAACTGGCCCCACTTCTCACCTAGGAGTCCTGGCTCTGGAGTCATCATGAGAACTGAGAGCTGGCTCTGCTCCTCACCTACTGCAGTACTTGGGAGACCAGGCCCTGCACTTTACTTGGGCAACACAATAAAGCAGGGAGCTGGTCCTGGGTGTGGGAGTTGCAGGTGAGGCAGTGACAAGGGTGTAAGCATAAAAGAGCCAGCCCTGGGCTGGTGAGATGGCTCAGTGGTTAAGAGCACTGACTGCTCTTCCAGAGGTCATGAGTTCAAATCCCAGCAACCACATGGTGGCTCACAACCATCTGTAATGATATCTGATACCCTCTTGTGGGGTATCTGAAGACAGCTACAGTGTACTTACATATAATAAATAAATAAAAATTAAAAAAAAAAAAAAAAAAAGAGCCAGCCCTGACTCTTGTCTGTTGTGAGGTGGTGGGATAACACCTCCTCTCCCTCATCTCTCACCACCTATGGCAAGCAGAAGAGCTGCCCCAGCAGTTACGAGAGAGGGAGAACTGGCCATGTACCTCACCAGCTGCAACACTTGGGAGAGTGGGCCCTGTATCTCACCTGGCAGCAGGCTAGAGCTGGTTCTTAGCTGCAGGGTTTCTGGTGAACCAGCCCCGAGAGCAGGAGATCAGGAGAGCTGGCTGACTAGCTCAGATGCCTCTCAGGCCCAGATCCAGAACCTTGAGTTGGCCTCCACCCCAACATCTACCCCATCAAAGAACTGCTGGAGTGCCTAAGGGGGCTAACCCTACTGATTCAAAACTACAGGATCTCCATGACACAGGGCAACAACAGGATGTCTGAGAGGAGTTCCAGTCAAGTTCCTTTATCGATAGAGTAGCAGAAGCCAGAGGCCTCATACCAGACCGATGAGTCATTGCAATGAAAGAAGTGTGGACAAAGGGCATTATAATATGGGAGGCATTGCGATGCACCAGCTTCCACAAGATACTTTTTTTTCTCTATTTGGGAGGAGGTTGCAAAGGTAGAGGGTAGGTACAGGGGGAGAGGAATGGGATTGGGTGCATGATGTGAAGTTTACAAGGAGCCAATAAAAAGTTTAAAAAAAGAAGTGGGTCTTCCCTGGGGTCAGGGAGACGACTCAGCAGCTCAGAGCACTGGCTGCTCTTCCAGAAGACCTGGATTCAATTCCCAGCAACCACATGGCAGTTCACAACTGTCTGTAACTCCAGTTCTACAGGATCCAATGCCCTCATCCAGACATGCATGCAGATAAAACACCAATGCATATAAAATAAAAATTAATCATTAAAAAAGTTCAGTCTTGCTGGGCGGTGGTGGTGCACGCCTTTAATCCCAGCACTTGGGAGGCAGAGGCAGGCGGATTTCTGAGTTCGAGAGTTCGAGGCCAGCCTGGTCTACAGAGTGAGTTCCAGGACAGCCAGGGCTATACAGAGAAACCCTGTCTCCAAAAAAAAAAAAAAAAAAAGTTCAGTCTTGGGGGCTGCTTTCTTTGGGTGTGTCTGAAGACAAGGACAATGTACTCACATACATAAAATAAACAAATCTTTAAAAAAAAAAGTTCAGTCTTTCAATTGTGGGCTCCTATAAAATAAAAAAATAAATAAAAGTGGGGTTTCCTATTTCAAATTATTTAAATATGAAAAACATCTCTGGGGCTGGAGAGATGACTCAATGGTTAAGAGAACCAACTGCTCTTCCAGAGGTCCTGAGTTCAATTCCCAGCAACCACATGGTGGCTCACAACCATCTGTAATGGGATCTGATGCCCTCTTCTGGTGTGTCTGAAAAGAGCCACAGTATACTCACATACATAAAATAAATAAATCTTTAGCAATCAACACACACACACAAGGAGAGAGAGAAAGACAGGAGAAGGGAGAGAGATCAAAACTTAAAGGGAAAAAAAGACAGAAACATCTCTCACAAGTGTACTTAGTCACTTGGGTTAATTCTGGATCTAGCCAAGCTGACAACCAAGAACAACCATCACAGTGATATCTCTCTTCCTCTCCCCCTCCTCTCTCTGTGGTTAAATGATGTAAACTGGAACCCCAAAAGGTAAAAATTAAGGAAAAGGTGCCCAGAGTGATGGTGCGTGCCTATAACCCTAGCACTTGGGAGATGGAAGCAGAAAGATCAGGAGTTCAAGGTCTGTCTGGGCCCTGAAATATGAGAACCTGTCCTGAAAAAATAAATAAATAAATAAAAATAAAATTAGAGAAAGAGGCTGAGGATGCTAGCTTACTGATAGAGCACTGTTTAGCATCCATGAGTTTGAGGTCAACCTGGTTTACAAAGAGAGTTTCAGGACAGCCAGGGCTACACAGAGAAACCCTGCCACAAAAAGTACTTTCTCTTTTAATGATGTTATATAACATGCATGTGATATGATAATTAACAAAACGTGGCATACCTACGTTCTGAGTCCACAGCATCAGGAAAGGGAAGAAAGCGAGAGACACTCCCTTGTCATTCAGTTCCAGGAGGCTAATTATGATCATGAGCTAGGTCATCTATTTTCGTGAAAGTAAACTGTTATTTGCAAAGAAATGGTCTATTTGAAGCTTTCTCGAGGGAAATCCAATAGCTCAGCCGGAGAATTTTGTTGTGAAGTGTCTAGATCTTCATGGCTTTTGCTTAAATATACTTCTGCATTGAACTACACGGTGCCTAGATAACTAGAATCAAAGGAGACTATATCTGGGATGAGTCTCACCCTCATCCCCACTCTATGCAGCCCTAATCCCCTCCAGTGCTAGAAACACTGCTGAGAGGGTGGATATAACAGTGAGCGAGTGCAAAAGGCCTGCATGTATTGATCTTATAGTTGCAAGTATATTCAAGCATTAGGGGAATTTGCAAATATAGACTCTGTGAGTAATGAGAATTATCTGCAGGTAGGAGACAGGGTGCTTACTGGGTTGGCAGATGTAGCCACAAATGAGATTGTCAGGAGCAAGCTCCATCCCCCTTGTCTCTCTTTCTATTCTGCCATCTGCAGTATTTGGCATTTACCCTCTGGCCCATCTCCTTTTATAAGTCAGGCTGCAGCAGCCTAGGAACATCACAAGTAGACACCATCTGTGGAGAGCTTTTGGGGTGGCCTTCTAGGAATTTGGCTGGAATTTGACATTGGACTAAGGCAAGGAAGTAGGTTTAGGCAAGAATTTGACATTTGTCTAGAACTAGGAAGTAGTCTCAAGATGAATACAGCTGAGAAATGTGTTCTTTGTATCTTGATGGGTCTTGTTAAGACTCTGAATACAGTAATTGTGGACCTTTGTTTATGGTTTGTTTGTTCCTTAACTACTTTGTTTATGCCTCAGGACTGACCATATTCTTTGTATGTATATAAATGATATAAAAAAGCAGACTGGAAAAATATAAACCCACTTCAGCCTCAGCACTGGCTGGAATCATGTTATGTTGTCTAATTGTCTTTTTATTTTCAGTCCTTGATCCCTCACTTGAGACTCTGTTTGGTTGACTGAGCTGACTTGGTCAACCGTCACACCTAACAGAAGAGGAGTCATTTTATCTGTGGATGTCATATCACAGCAGGGACAGTCTTTCTCCAAATTCTACCTTACCCCAGCAAATTTACATTCAGAATCATGAACCAGAATCACAGAAAATGCTCATGCCTGAACCATGACTGGCTCAGAGCAACAAACTTCATCTCCCAGACATAGGAAGCACCTCAGGGCAGCCACATCTCAATAATGCTGGGATTCTGTTAGTAAGAATGGTAGGAGGGAAAAGAGTTAAGTAGTTGACAGGGTTTCTACCATGTTGCTTATTAGTGACTGTTTGATATTGTCATGCCCACAGGCCAGGGTCAGAAAATACACTGCCTGGGCATTAGTACTGACATACGTAATAGGCGTTGATTACTAACAATGTTCATAATCTGTCACCCATTCTTTACCACTTTCTTGTAAATATACTACAAATAATGTCTCTTAGTCTGAACCAGATGCAGGAGATTGACAACACTGTGCTACACTACCCACAAGTAAGTCAGAGTGTAATGCCTCCCAACATGGGTATCCTACACAACCCAAAATCAGGAAACCAGGGTCAACTGACAGGTTACTAACACCTGCTACTGTGTAGTCAAATGTTTTCTAATGATCCAACAGTCTGTAAGAATAGGAGTCAGCCCAAGATCAACCTGTTATATTTACTTGGGCCTTAATTCTTATTTATTTTTAGATTTGTGCACTTATGTCTATTTTTATGAATAAGTGTTTGCCTGAATGCATATATGTGTAACATGTTGTGTGCCTGATGCCTGGAGAGGTCAGAAGAGGGCATTGGAACACTTGGAATTGGAGTTGCTGATGGCTGTGTGGGCAACTGCCCCTGGGTCCTCTGAAAG